AGAGAGAGAGAGAGAGATAGAGAGAATACTTTGCAGAGAGGTTAGTGACTTCGTGCAGAGGCAGGGACCCCCCCCCCACGGAGTCACGGGAACCCCCCCCCCACACCCACGGAGGAAGAAGACGAATGATCATGCCTACCATCCTTGTTGTTGAAGACGCAGTGTTCTTCTAAAATGTGAGCTCCACCCAACTGTATATCCTGTGTAATTTGAGCATCGTGGCGTCCGACTCTGTAGAATACACAGGAGTGTGATGTTATTAGATATGTTATTGTATACAGCTAGATGTGTTACATAAGTGGATAGATGTGATACAAAAACGCACATTAAACAGTCTAGCACTTTCACAATAAATACACAAAAGGTCAGTACGGTTATTTCGCCATTGGTTATTTTCATGGTTCATATATTCGTGAGAGAGCGAGTCAAATAGGGTCATGTCTACAAAGATAATGGTCGACTATCCGGGAAGTGTGCATTAAATTATATATCATTGATGATATTATATGTAAAATAAATACAGATATAAGCTGTGATTACGAACAAACCAATTTTAAATACATCGTTTAAAATTCGGTTCTATTCATATATATATATATAATATATATATGAGTGTGTATATATATATATATGGCAATGAGAAGTGCCTACTTTGTCATTCCTTCCTTGATGTAGTAGAGCAGGCATTCCGACATGAGTGGGTCCTCGTTTAGGTTGACTAAATTCGGAGACTGTAGGAAATACAACCAAATTATTAATGCTTTAAATCCGTAGGGTAACTGATTAATAATTAACCGTTCTAGTGTAAAGTAAAATCTAATTATCTGTATTTAAACTCATACTACCTAGAGAGGCAATTAAAAATGAATTGATGTCAAAATTCATAATAAATAATGCGCACCATGTTATCCAAGATATCAAAACAATCTGGACGAACCCTTCTCAAAAGCTACCATATCTAACCAAGATAAGCAATAATGTAACAAATGAAACAAGAAAGGAAGTATTTCTATGAGATGTTCCCCAATAACACAAAATGTTCTTAGCGATGAGATAATCATAGTTTCCTTCGCGCAGGCATCATTTAACCCCACCTGTGCAGTAAACCATACGCTCGTATGAGACGTGGTTATCTATAACTCAGGTGAGATATCCCATCTCAAGCTCATACTGTGATAGAACCTATTACTCTCGCAGCAATATCGCAGTGGCACGACTTTGACAGATCAAGACATACTATAAACATGCATCAGACGTATCGGATAATTTGTGTATGGGTAACGGAAAAACTTTAATGCTGGCACACGCGATTCCTCAGCTATACCCGCGTCTGCTATAAATAATGAAGTAGCGGTGGTATGTTGTTCAGGAGACAAACACAGACGTAATGTTGCTGTAAGCAGCGATAATTATAAGTGCTGAGCTCTGGCTGTCTATCACGCCGCATTCCACGCGGTGGGAGGCAGGGGCAGAAGCTGACCCACCCCGCTATGTCAACAACGACGCCCCACCCCCCTACCCCTACTGTTAAAACGCCACAAACTTACACAACTATATATAGTTTCGACACAGCGGGGGGGTGGGGTGTTAACATCAGACGGCCAGCGTTTAAGTACGAGTGTGTATTTATATACTTACCAGTGCTAACTCTCACATACCCCCCCCCCCACACACACACACACACACCAGTGCTAACTCAACCACACTACATGTTACCACCCAGACGCATAATTATTATACTAATGCTAATTCCTATCACCCAGTAAACAACCTAGTGCCAATACCAATGCTAACTCTCACCTAGCAATCCACCGCTCACGTATATATCCCAGTATAAATACCAATATCGACCCCATGAAAGCACGCACAAATACGAGTGCTAACTCTACTATGAACTCCACGCACGCACGCACACACGCACGCACGCACCTACCTCCTAATAAACGCACGCACGCACGCACGCACGCACGCACGCACGCACGCACCTACCCCCTAATAAACGCACACACGCACGCACGCATGCACCCCGCCCCCACATACGCACGCACACACGCACGCACGCACCTACCCCCTAATAAACGCAAGCACGCACGCCCGCTCCTACCCCCTAATAAACGCACGCACGCACGCACGCACGCACCTACCCCCTAATAAACGCACACACGCACGCACGCATGCACGCACGTACGCACCCCGCTTCCACGCACGCACGCACGCACGCACACACCTTCTTCGGCTGGAAGACGCCGACCGTGTGTCCGTCCTCGCGGATGGCCACGCCCATCTCCGCGAGCACAGCCTCTCGCTCGAGCCGTATGGCTTCGGTGCGCCTCAGCTTCTCCTCCCACGTCTCATTCAGCTCTGCCATCAGCTTGTTTGACGCCTTCAGCTGGTCGATGGCGTCCTCGCCGGCCGCTGATATCGACTCGGAGCGTTTATGGATCTTCACCGTGTCTGCACCTGGATGAAGGGAGGAAGGGGGAGCAATGATGATGATGGTGATTCACTGCTGTGGTTACAGGAAACAGCAGTGTTGACCCTCATATACTGCTTCAGCTTAACCCTCGAGTCTCTCGTTCTCTCTCTTTCTCTCACTCGTTCTCTCTCTTTCTCTCTCTCTCTCTCTCTCTCTCTCTCTCTCTCTCTCTCTCTCTCTCTCTCTCTCTCTCTCTCTCTCTCTCTCTCTCTCTCTCTCCCTCACCCCCTCTCTCACTCTCTCCCTCTCCCTCACCCTCTCCCTCACCTTCGTTAGCATCTAGCTCGATGCCTTCATGCTGCAGGATGTCACGTAGGCGGTTCACCTCTTCCTTCAGCTCTCGGATCAGCCGGGCGTTCGGATCTTCGTTGACCACCGCCTTGCACATGATCTGCTTCGCTCGGTCCGCGTACCTGCAGATCACAGCGTGAGATGTGGCGCCCCCTGATGGAGTCACACGGCGGCGCAGCGGGAGCGGGCCGGAGGGAAGAAAAGGGGAGATGGGGGGGGGGTTTCGCATGGAGGGGGCGATGTTTCAAAGAGGTTAAAGCCCACGTTCAACAAGTTTTTGGCCAAAAAACCTCAAAACAATTTCCTCACTGCAGTGTATAGACAACGTGCAATAGGTTGCCGCCATGACAGTGACCGCTGGCGCCACCTACCTCAGGGTGCTCATCGTCTCATCGTAGTTGATGTCTGCAGGGCTGAGCGCGGCCACCATGCAGGTCTTGGAGTTACCGCCGAGGTTTTCCCGCAGCAGCCAGGTGAGAACCGAGTCTCTGTAGGGGATGAACTCAGCCTTCTTCTTCTTCTTAGACGACTGTCGAGTAGAGCGGCGAGAAAGCGGCGTTAGCGCGACGCAGGGATCGACCGCCAGGGGGCGCTGTCGCGATAGACCAGGGGGCACCGCCGCATCTGGACAGGGGGCGGAGTGGGCGTCGCTGATGCGGTGCCGTTCTGCGGTGCCGGAATTCGCGCCGAATTACAAGAAAGATTGCAGTGTGCGTGGAGGACGCGTGTCGAGCAGGTCAGACGTAGACACTAATAGCGGTCGAGTGAGACAACGATGCTTTACTAGTACGTTCAACGCGCGTTCACCGGGTCGGACGCGTGCTGGGGGTCAGACGCTGGGGTCCAGGTGTCGGTGCGCTTAATCGGTTTTACTATCACGAAGGAGAAATGTCGCGCGACGTTACAGCCGGTGGCTCTTTACTTCTCTCTCTATCGGTTTACTCTCAGGGAGCGGCATGCTCAAGCATGCAATTATATTCTAGCAAGAGTAGATAATAAGACATTGTGTTATTATCTACTCTTGATTCTAGGTGAAGTTGGTAACATTGCTCGCTTTCTCCATCATTCGCTGCCTCGTTACCGCAAGCGCAGATCAGTTAATGAGGTGCTAATGAATGTAATCGAACGTTAACTGTCATAATTTCCATTACGAAGCACGATCGCTTTTTGTTACGCGTACGAAAATGCAGCATTGTGCGGGGAAGGCGCGAGGAACGGGAAATTCTCACTACTGCAGCTCGATTCACGTACACGCGTGATGTGATGCACGCAGTAAGGAGTGAAAGCAACTCAGGTTGCTAAAAACTCATTGATATTTGATGCTTGGACGACGCGATGCTGTTAGTTTTTTCCTTCGGTGTTATGCTAGCAAGCAGGCTCGTACATCAGACAAAATCAATAATAAATTGTACGCATATTATAATAATAGGCATTAACATACTAAGCACATCAAAAGCCGAGGACATACACGCGTTTACACTCACACAGCCAGCGTATGAACGCACGCACGCACGCACGCACGCACGCACGCACGCACGCACGCACGCACGCACGCACGCACGCACGCACGCACGCACGCACAGACACTACAGACACGCACGCACATACGCACACACACGCGCACGCGAGAGATCTACCGAGAAAGCATACATGATTTGTTACATCACCAAATTATGTACATCCCCCGTGTATTAACATCTCCAAAGATTTATATACAACTTCGTGACACGGACAAGAGAGAGAGATAGAGAGAGAAAGAGAGTGAGTGAGAGAGAGAGAGAGAGAGAGAGAGAGAGAGAGAGAGAGAGAGAGAGAGA